TCTTTCGGCACAATCTCGTGTGTTAAGGAAGGATTTTATTTCAAGAGTCGAACGACACTTTAGTTGGAATAGTTAATGTGAACGCACTTGAGAAGTCTTTTACGGCAGTACTTGACATTGCCTGTGGTTATTTTCTCACTGTACATGAATATAAGAAAACATTAAGAGCCTCTCGTTTCTTTACGACGCACAAGGGCATTGTCGACTTTGCCTTATAGCAGGAATTCTTTTTTATTGCCCTCAAAGTTAGTCCCACGGCTTCAATGTGTCGGCAATTTACACACTTTAAGATCAACAACCAACCCAAACGTCTAAATAATTTAGTTCATGAATAAATTATTTGAAAAATAAATGTGTGCTTAATTTTAGTGCTAAAATATGTAGTAATAACTTTTATTAAAGATTAACTTTTGTCTAAAACATAAATTACTTACAACAAATTTTAAATGAAATTTTTGCCGGAGAACGGAACGTTTAATTATTTATTAATTGTAAATTTTCTTTCTCTCTTGTGCCAGAGAGAAGTTTTCTGAGAAAATCTGGGAAGAACAATAAGAGTCAGTGTCTTACTTATTATTACTGTCACTGTAAAAATCGTCACAAATAATTTTTTATTAAAATCTTACTCTCATAATAAATGTCATATTTTTTCGTAGCACATTATCGCATCTTTCCATTACTTTTTCATCCTCCTGTTCGATCAAAGTCGCCACATATCTCGGACAAAGTCAAACCATTCGGAAGTTATCGAAGAAAAATGAAACAACCCCCATCTCCAAATTTTTTCCAAGTAACATTTTTAAGAGTTATAGCGACATGGCGTCTTTTGTACCATAAATTTTTTATAACCACTGAGTTAAAAACGATCCTTTTCACACTCCAGAAACTGTAATGACCTTCTTAATTAATCCTTTTATTGCAGTGGTAAACATCCAAGTGTAACAGTTATTTAATGGATGACAGATTTCAGCTCTGTAATCATTTATCAATTAAATTTGATCTAGAACTGTGAAACCTTTTTATTAGCACAAAAAAACTATGTGGAAAAGATAACATTACCGTCGAGTTTATTTCATGATGTATAAAGTCATAACGTAACTCGGTTGCGGTTGCTAAAACTTTAAACGAGACGGAATTAATAAAAACAGTAACATTCTTGTCGAAACTTTGTACATTTTGAAAGGCTTTAAGGGCCAATTTCAGTGTGGGCTAATTTTCTTTTTTAGATATAATCGCATACAACCTGGCCATAAACAACATAGATGTGGAAATGAGGGACTTTTATGCGTTTGCTCGACTTTTCAGTTAAATCTTTTTTCATTTAAATTCGCTTGAATCAAGTTGTTCCGCATGTAATAAATTCGGCGTTTCGATAATAGCGTCTGAATAAACTTTGAGTTTAGACACCTTTTCAAATAAGCAACACAACATGCATTTATCTCAAGTCAACACCATCACACGTATTGGCATTCGAGGAAATGGAATTTACATCTGGTGGAGGAATCGAAGTTGCATTTGCGGAAACAAGCAGAAATTATGTTGATGCAAGTTCGAGACGGAGTTTTTCGGCGTTAATAAACGCCCGGTTATAAATCCCGATACCTTGGAGCAAATGCAACTGGAAATAAACAACTCCTTTAGGGAAATACAAGAACGAATATCTATCTAAGGACGTTACAATCTAGCCAATATACATGTCATTGTGTAATTGCAGCAGTTTCTCGCTTAGTGTTCTCTTGGGTCTTGTTACAGCGACTTTACCACCAATCATCCGAGATTTCGGAACTAATAGTTTCCATCTTCTCCCTTCAATTATTCCCCAAAAGCGAATGCGTGACATCGAACGGTATTTATCTTCGATGTTAATATACACAAACCACTTTAGGTATTAGATGCGGCAATTTGCGCCCCGGTATTGACTCGGATGCTCTTTTTTGCTAATTACCTGTTGATTTCTACCTCTCCTTCTATAAACAATAACTAAGCAAGTTTTAACTACTACCAATTCACTAATTTCACAAAAATACAAATGGTTAAATAAAAAACAAAAAAAGTGGAGTAGTGATTTATTTGGAATAACATTCGTGTGCCATACCTACAAAACGTTATCCAGCACCCTTTTAATTGCTATTTAAAATTCTTTTTTTTTAAACGTAATTTTATTTTTTTTATATACTGAATATTAATGATTGCATTTAGTGTCCAGTGGTTAAAGAAGATTATCTTCTATTATTATCTGCTGTTTATATTCTTTATATTATATTCGGAAGGAATTATAAAAATTACCCAAAGCCATAAATTCATTATTTTTAAAGATATTATAATACTTCTCTGATTAAGATTGAATAGATTTTTGTTATCAGTCGTTTGCTTGACTTAAATAAAATGAGTAAAAATGTTATATTCTTTCCACAGCCTATTTTATTTTATTTAATTTTCAAATTGCCTAAACGCAGTTAAGTGATAAATAATAATAATAGGTTGTTGCTTGTTAAAAGACAGTTTAATAAGGAATCTAAAAATAATAGAATATACAGAGTACTTATTCCATTTAAAAAACTGAAATTGATGTCACTTCTGGTAAAACAAAAAGCGCAGGATTAACTGAGCATCTATTCTAAAAAATTGATGATAATAAGCTGTGTAACTTTGTTCTAAAAAAACGTGTGTTTATTAAAAAAAAATCAATAGTGCTTTGATAAATATTGCTTTCTTTGATTAATTCTTTTATCTATTTGTCAAAATGACACATAATGACATGGTAAGTGATGCTCCTCCATCCACCCTTCAAGCCACAGCCACCTTAAGTTGAAAATTTTAAATGGCACGACCCTACTTGCGATACATCGTTGGAAAGCCCATAACAAGCGCTTTTCAAAAATGTTATACAACAGCCTATTTGGCAAAGCCATTTTTCCAATTATTCAAAAACGAATACGTTAAATTTTCATTTTTTTTATTATATTCAAGAGTGGGTGGAGGTGTGTCACTTATCATGTCATTTTAACCCCCCTAGGAACACGAAAAGGGTTTTGAGTGAAAATTAAATTTCGAAAAATTTTATTCTTGTTAAATTATCACATTTTAATAGTACTTTATCACTCATCAATTAGTTTTTTCAAAAAATAAATAGTTTAAGCAAAAAATGTTTGGTTCCATACTTTTTATTCACCTGGTATATGACTGACCCTGTATTAGATACGACGATAGTTATAGATTTTTGTAAGTTATACGATACTTTATTCACTTCAATCGCCATAGTTATTATTCAATCGCCAGTTATATATTTTTTCTTATTACTAATTCATATTGAATAAATTTCGTAAAGCTGATGCAAAGTTGCTACGTCAACAAAACGCACTCTTTAAATGCCGCTTCCATTTGCGTGGTGTTTATCCAGAGTCGCTTTTTCACAAATTTAAAAGCATATGTTTGTTTAAACCTGTAATCGGGTAACCGAAGTAAATCCGCCTTCACCTACAAAATAGATTGAAAGTTTCCGTCGGCGTAACAATATTTTTACTTCTTTTCATCCACCCGGATGGTGCAGATATTACATTTGAGAGACAACGTCTTGATCGTCGTGAGAGCTTTGTTTCTTCGCCAATATTTGCTCTTTCGAAAATTATACTGTCTTTATAGAAACGTCTGCAATTCTCATATGATCTTTTCAATGGGGTCACAGGTAATTTACTGCACACACGAAATAAATCATACATAAACAAAGCAACGAGTGCTGGGTGGCGATAGGTATAGTTGGAAATCTCAAAAAGAGTAAACGAGCTTAAAAAAATCCCCAACTCGCAAATCCCATGCTGGGCCTATATTTTATCGAAGAAAATTGCTGACGACAAAAATTATTTCCTGAGTGCTTTATTGCCCTACAAACCGATAAATCAAGATTTTAAAATGGATAATTACAGGTCCAGTTAATTTATCGCACATTAATATCATTGTTCCACGCAAATTTATACAACCAAAATGATATAGGAGAGGTGAAGACAACAACCTTTTGTAACCCAGAAGACAATGTAACCGATGCTTACACGGCCGATAGTGAATGTCGACAATCCTTTGTTTTATCCTGAATGTGTGTCTATTGAGCTAAATAAACTGATATTGTGTTGTTGAAAGTAGAACTAACGCTATCCACAGAGACAAAAAAATATAAAAAGTTTGAATACAATTTGTAATTTTTTTTCTATAGATTCGATGTATTTAAGTAGTTCGATTTTAAAATAAAAGACTCGTTAATTAAAATTGTAATTTATTAAATCAGGTACAATTTATTTTGCAGTCGTGCTTTTGTGTAATTAAATAACAATGGAAAATAATAAAAAAGTTATTGTGAGCTATGTAATTGAGAGAGGATTGTGAGCATGCTATATAATTTATATCCGATTTAGCAAATCATTAGTCCATTGTCGATTTTTGGGTGGATTGTAGGAAAATCCGCATAATAAAGGAATAAAATTATGGTCAGAAAAACAATAAATAGGTAGTGTGTAGAAATTCAGTAACGTGAGTAAAAATTTCCATAACGGCAAACATTCCTTGGTCAAACCACGCTTTAAACCAGATGTAAACAACGACAATTTATCGAATAACGACAGGCTTAGTGCACCTGCAGTTCACCTTTTGCAAGAATCAAAGCGTAATTTGAAGCGCAAATATTATTTCGAATTGGGAGTAGGTTTCGTAAATGGAAAGCACACATTGCTAATAATGGCAAGAAAAATAAACTAGCAATTTCGTAATCGTATTTTCTCTGGAAAAGCCTCGTGCTCTGATCAGCTTATTAAAGTAAAACAGTATGTTAATTTCGGCATTGTTCGTTGTTTATTTAAGGGAAAGTTCGAACCGCCTTAAGATATCTGTAATTTGATACAACAAGTCACTTTTAATGTTGAACAATTCTGTTTTCCATCATATATAAAAAAGTATTCCGGCTTACAGCTGAATGATTTGGCCATGTGAAAAGAGAATTGTAAAAGACTTACGATTTATATCGAGGGTAACTGAACTAGAAATGGGGGCCACTAGATTGTTGTTGGATGCTTGGCAAGTGAATACGGTGTGAAGATGCTTCCTTTCAAGCTTTTCCAGGTGGAGGATATTTCTGACTCGACGATCTTTTAAGTACTCGAAAGAGTCGTCGAGAAGAGCATTCTCTTGCCACCATGTCACTCGCGGCGGGGGACGACCTAAGTTCAATAAAAATGATGAAAATTATTTTAAATGCTTCAACGCAAAAAATATGGTAGGGACATAGCAGACGGACAATGTTGGTTAGTTCTCATTTGACGGTTTAACAAAATTAACTCAACTTAATAAGAGACGAGCAGTTCGTTTAAACCAGAGTTGCAAAATGCGAGAACTGACCATTAGCATAGAGCTTAACCCAATTTTATTTGCTGTAAAGTTTAAATGTATTTCATTAGCGTGCACCGATTTAAAGCAAGCTATGATCAAGTTTGTGTATTTATTAAACACACTTAATAAAAAAAACACAGTTTTATAAGCAGAATAAATGTTAGCATAATTCTACAAAATTAAAAATTTAAATAGAGATTACTTTATTCACAATCAGAAAGTAATAATCAAATTACTTTGCATATGAAAAATTCGGCATTTCAACTTCATTTAACAATTGATATGAAATATCAGGTCCAGATTAGAAAATCTTAACCTAAACCATCACATAACATGTTCTTCAAAATTTGATAAATCCTTTATTGGCTTTCTGGTTTTTAAGAAGGATGATTGTGAATAAAATAGCACTTTGGTGGTCGTTGCTTCATCGAACCTCGGGTTATTGCTAACCGCGGCGCTTGCTTTGCGCTTTGGTCATCAAATTTCGCCTTGGTAATGAAGCACCTTCCACCTCGGTATGTAATCTACTATTGTTTACCTACAAATACTACATAAGATTTATTACTGACAATCGCAATAGAAAATTAAAGTAGGTACATTGTTTTAATAAAAAAAGTTTTTAATAAAATGGCTATAAATTAAATGTTTTGGTTCATTTTATTTATTTTTATGATTACAAGTATGAGAAAATACAGAGTGGTTATAAATGATTTTCATCTAGCCAGCTTTGGATTTTTTTTGCATGTAACTTTATTTGTGCCGCTCTACTTTTTTGAAAGCTCTAGTTCTGTCATTAGTGTCACTTATTAATTAATGATAAATTGTTGTTAATTAAATTTTTATTGTTTCAACTAATTTCCAATAATAATTGATAATAATGTATACTTTGGAAGAAAACAAGTTTATAATTGAAGTCTATTTTCGAAGTGGACGCTTAGTAAACGGCGATTTTTTAATTTTGAGTTACAACAAGTGGGTACCACTATTTTCGTAAAGCGGCATTTTTTATTTTACATGGAAAATTCACAGCTGGCTAGAAGAAAATCATTTATAACCACTCTGTATTATTATAAAACTTCTAAGTTTTTTTGTTAATATATGATATTTGTACGATTTGGTCACTTAGTTCTAGGAAAATTTAGTACGTGACCTATGCTAAATCATGCAATTTGTTTAATTGTTAAAGCCTTTAGAAAGCAAATTTGACAACTATTACATAAACTTACACATCACTTTTTCTTATTTAAATTGCTATTTTAGTACCTAATACTGTAAACTGTTTCAAGAATCTAAGCAAATTTTGCTATAGCAACATCTCCGAAATATTTCACATGGGTTTATCTTTTTTTTTAATTTGCAAATTAAATAGAAACATCCTAACAACAATGTTTTTGTTTCTTTCTCTTTGCTGTAAAAATCCCTTTTTGTTCGAATTTTGCCATTTTGTGTAAAACTAAAACCCTTGAGTAAAGCACAGTTTTGTGGTGAAGCTCTAAGCAGATTATTAAATTAACTCACCTCCAGTGGCAACACATGTAATATTGACTGAAGACCCCTCATTATATGGTCCTAAAATGTAGTTAGAGATATGAACGCCCGTCTCGTCGAGTACACTCAGTTGATCAGGTGGAACTGTAACAAAGATTAGAATCTTAATTAAAAACTAATCCTGGTATTCGCAAGAGACCCGCACGACTACAATTAACTACGATTAGGCTCTGGGAGTGTTTTTTAGAGTGTAATTGAGTCTTGAGACTTAACTACAATTAATACCAAGTTGATTATAGCAATTTGTTTAAATTAAATGATTACAGTAAAAAGTTCCATGAAAATGCAATTTGGTTTTATAAACTTTTTGGTCTGACGTATTTATGGACGCTAATTAGCTTTACAAACTAAAAAAAGCAAAAAGTAATTTAATTTGAGAATGCATTACTGCTACTAGTAAGTAATATTCAATTTAGTTTGGCATTTATAAAATTAAAATGCGAGTAAGTACGAGATAAAACTGTTCAAAAAATTCTATTTTTAATAGTATTATTTATGAAGTCATTATGGTGGATGCGCCGGGATATTATTCGTTTTAATAATTTACTAAAACTTGATAAACTCTTTAATTACTTTATAACTTTTTACCTCCTATCAATTACGAATGTAAAAAAACGAATAATTAAATCGATGTTAGAATAAATAATGCTTTTTGGGGCTCTTCGGTCTGTCTACAAAGCCATTGCTCAGATTCCACCTCATGTCATTATTCATTTACTTAGCACTCTACTTTCTCGTTTACATACCAACAAACCTGCCGGAATTTATGGACGACAATTAAACCCAGCGCAAATATTCGTCGTGGTCGGTCGGCCGTAATAGATGCAAGAAGTGAGAATTCGCTTTGTCCGCTCGTTAACTAACTAATTTCGACCGGTAAATTCGGGTTTCCGGTAGAGATTACATCTGTTTCTGACCCAGCACTTAATCTTTGAAAATGGCCGTCTTATGACAGCTGGTGAATTATTATGAAACGAACGAAGAAATCGTGCCAACGATAAGAGACTGTAATGGTATTGAATTCTTATCATATGCAATTTTTTCCGGTATGATAGAATATCTCGTTATGCAAAGGGAATTTGAATTAGTAAAGCCAAGAGAATTCCGGAATGTCAGCTAGTTAGTGTTATGAGGGTGATAAGACGCAGAGACAGGGGAACGTTTTCATTATTGTCGAGGTTTTTTTCATACGTGCTGGAGTGGTCCATTATTCACCCGCATCTTGGAATCTTGACGTATTTACTGTTATCTAGACGGTTCAATAATGCTCAACAAGAACGAGTTTAACCATTGCAGATGCAAATGAAAATTATGGTGGATGCGTCGGGTAACAGTTTTCAATTCTAAATTTTAAAAACAAAAAAAGTTTTCCTCCCAACAGGAAATAAAGTGACGCTTTTTTCCTCGTTTTTGACTAATAATCTGGTACTTTACTCCCTTGGGATTAACATAAATGAAATACCGATTGTTACTCTTAAAAACGATAAGTATAAACTGGAATTGAATGAATTGAATCTTTTGAGTGTTTTTAACATAAACAAACTCCTTGATACCAATTTTTACTCTTAAAATTACAATTTAACAAACTGAATATTTTGACAAATCATTTGACATTCATTGACAAATTTATCATTTTTTTGCATTAGTATTAATTTAGTCTGTTGAGAAGAAAGTTTTGTATGCATCTTTGGAATAAACATCGTTATAGTCCGATCAATGAACACATTCAAGGTTACAATAGTTCGCATAAAACTGAAAATTGGTACGAATGTTGGACATCCCATTATAAATGTGAAAAGTCCCCATCAATCCCACGTCTGCAAAAAAAGTTATTCAAGGTCAAATGTTGCGAAAATGGGATTTTTGCATTTTTCAGCCAAACGGTAAGTTTTATCATAAAAATACATCAGACAAAAATTGTAGAGCATGCAATTCTCTATAAAAAATGTTCCTACACTTTTTTTTTCCTAAGAGTAACCATTTCTGAGATATAGCGATTTAAAAGTTGTGTTCTTCATAATATACACACGTTTCCAGGCCATTTGTGAGGTAGTGTACTTGGCGCGTTTTTTTAACGTGGTTTCCTCGGTAGGCCTATTTTACGATCTATTGAGGTTCTGTTTAATTAAGAAATATTGTATCAAATGACAAATGGTACTATTGCAGATGTAAATTATGAGTAATATAGAGGAAAATTATTCGTCTGATTGATAGTTATCTGATGATTGATGACCTGATGGGACTTCAAGTGTACTGTCTTCTTCCTCTTCTTCTTTTCTTTCTTTTTCTTCTTCTTTTTCATCTTCTTGCTGGGTACAAGTAAATTGTTCTAAGAGCGATGAATCAGATGTCTCCTAGCAGATAAAACAACAGTTTTTAAATTGTTTGAAAAACAAGACTTAGTTAATTGTGCTGAAGTTTTTCAAAATAGTAATTCTACTCCACAAGTTGTAATCATCAACGGAATTCGCTTTCTTCTTTCTGTGTACGGAGCTTCTAAAAAAATTACCTACTTAGATAAGTTCCCATACTTATCTTTTTTTAAAAATACTCGTAACAAAAAACGAGTGCAATTGGCATGACTTCGCTCAACGTCTGCTTCTGCTCAGCAACATCTATTAAGTGTGGCTTGGTAATAAACTGGACCCAGAAGTCTGGGGTTGGAAATTAGTTAATAATACATTGGGACCAATTCAGACTTTACTCCTACCTGCACCGGAAAACTCCTCAATACAATTTTTTGCAATTGTAAAAAGCGGTGTAATGCCAAATGTGGCTGACAAAAAGTTGGATTGTTTTGTTCATTAGCATATACCAGTTGTCAAGACCAATCATGCTCCAATGTTGAGTCGCTATTAGGAGAAGATGCTTACGATATCTGTGAGGAGACATCTGAGTCAACGCTCTTAGAACAATTTACTTGTACCCAACAGATGAAGAAGAAGAAAAAGAAGAAGAAGACGAAGAAGACAGTACACTTGAAATACCATCAGATAACTATCAGTAAGACGAATAATTTTTCTCTATGTTACTCATAATTTACATCGTTTTTATCATCTCCAATAGTACCATTTGTCATTTGATACAATATTTTTTAATTAAACAGGACCTCAATAGATCGTGGAATAGGCCTACCGGAGAAACTACGTTCAAAAAAAGGCGCCAAGTACACTAACTCACAGGTGGCGTGGAAACGTGTGGATATTATGAAGAACACAACTTTTTAAATCGGTATATCTCAGAAATTGTTACTCTTAGAAAAAAAGTATAAGAACATTTTTTATAGCGAATTGCATGCTCTACAATTTTTGTCTGATGTATTTTTATAATAAAACTTACCGTTTGGCTGAAAAATGCTAAAAACCTATTATCGAAACCTTTGACCTTGAATAACTTTTTTTACAGATGTGGGATCGATGGGGACTTTTCACATTTCATTTATAATGGGGTTCCCAACATTCGTACCAATTTTCAGCTTTATGCGAATTATTGTAACCTGACCCTTATTTTTTAAGCTAACTTGCCCGGACTATTAATCCCTCGAATCGAAATACCTTCGGCTCCCTTCGATGGCCTCAGACAATACTTACATTCTCAGGATTAAAATTGTTGTTTATTCTCTTGGAACATAATAGTACATTATATTATAAGTGATAGAAATGCATCATTCATTATACGCGAGTGAGAATTTTGACGACGAGTGCGCTTGCGCACGAGTGGGACACTTCTCTCGAGTTTAATAATGGCATTTCGATCACGTGTGATATATGACGTTTTATCTTACAGCTGCAACTATCCAAAAAATGAAGTTTCATTCAAGTAAAATATTCGCCTATTAAAATATAATAGTAAATATAATAAAATTGTCAAATTTACTCACTTGTGAGTACTTTATCCCACTTGTAAATAATATTTGATTTCTATCACCAAAAACAATGGTCTAAGGTAGCTCAAAAACTCAACCTGTAAGAATAAAAACTATTAATATAACCACCGTCGTAATTTTTTTCAGTTAGAATTGTAGTTATACAAACAGAACTAACTAAAACTAAAAAAATCTATATTATTGCATTTTCTTCTGTAAAAGATCATTTTGTCTTTAATAAACAAAGCAAAGAAATAAACAATAAAAACTCGACTAAAAATTATCTCATTTAAGAGAAGTTAAAACAGTTTAATATTTCTAAATACATTTTATACTCATATTGTCGTGTCATTAAAAATAAATCCTTGTAGTACAAATATAAACAATGAATAATAATTTAACTTAATTTTAGGCAATCATTATATCTTTATTACATTTTCATGTTAATATTGTCAATGAAATCCGCACTAAAAATTAAATGACTTTTGCTTGAAATTTTTATTCTATGCAATAAAACATAACTCATTAATATTAATTAAAATAATTTCTGCTCTCCAATTTTAATCAAAATTATGAACATATATTTTAAATGAATAAAACAAATGTGGTACAAGTAATTATTTAAAATTATTTTGTTACGGATAACCGAGTGTAGAAATTTCAATAATTCATTTATAATGATAAATTACGTAATCTGTATGAACTGTTTTTTTTTAAATATGACATCAAATCCGGAATTTTTCTTTGCCAAAGAAAGCAAATATATGTTGTCAAAGGCATGTTTTCTCGTGTTTGGCAAAGACATCTTGATCTGTTATTCACTTGAATTGTTTTATTTCGTCATATTTACATACAGTAATGAAACTGTTTGAGTAATGATACATTTCTGGTATCTTTGAACATTGTCCGCATCGCAAATCAAATCAATTCCTAATCGAAGTTTCAATAAAAAGGCCAGCGACGCTGCGCTGCTAATCCCGATTGCCGGTGCACAAAATTAAAAACCTGCACTTCTGCAAAGAGACAGTTTTCAATCACATGCCAAGCCTAAACTGAATTAATTTAAATTTATTTTGAATACTACACATTTTTCGTTTGATGGTGTCGTTGCTCATTCCGGCCAATTAATTTGGTCGTCTTTTCGCCGATTTTTTTCGGATAAAACCCGCGAGATATCATACTTTTTTATGTTTCTGTAGCAATTATTCCAGACTGCCTTAGATGCGACAAATAGATGGATCGAGATGAGAAATGGGACGGAAACTAAGCGAGTTTCAGCGATTCTCGTAAATCAGAATTAATGCCAAGATAAATTTCAGCCGGCACTTTGAATCATTTACGTAGTCGAACCTCACAATAGAATAAGTCACCTCGAGTAGCCTCAAACGATGCACAATTGCACCGAAATTGAACAAATAAAAAAATTCGAAACAAAAATCCATAAATGAAAATATTTCAGGTGTGTGACATGACACGGAGGTAAAAAATGCAACATAATTTAAAACAACTGCCATGACATTGCCAACAGCTCATTAGAGAGAAAAATAAACAAAAATTGTACCCATAACCGCTGATGTCGCAATGCAGATAATTTGCTTCACTATGAATGCGTCATACTGGAATGGTTAAAACGACGTATTCATCTAACTTTGCAAATCACAATAGGTAATAAATAAGTATATATTTACAATAAGTATATTTACTTAAAAACTTTCAAGCAAGTCCATTATAATCAAACGAAGTGATATTTTAAGCAAACTAAAAAGCTTAACCAAGATATTTGCTTTCAAGGTAAGTTTACATATGACAAGAAAGTTTCACCCTTTTTAAAAAATAACGTGAAGAAGTTGAATATTACTTCAACCACGTAAATATACTCTAAACGTATCTACTTTGAAACAATATAAATTTACAAGAAGTTGTATCGAAAATTGCAAAATTAATTAGAAGAAAAGTAAAACGCTGTATATACCTTATTGATTTCTTTGTCTACCAGCTGCTATTTAGTCTTTTTATTGATGTAGATACACATTTATTGCATTTATAAATATTTATGTACTTTGAACATCAGATTCATTATATGGAGGGCTCAAAACTCAATCAGTCTAAAGCACAATTTTTTTCAAGATGAGTTATGCCACTGTATTGTTAAATCTTGCACCACTTAAAAATATTATCAATTCTCTTTCAATAAAGATTTTGTTTTTCAACCTTGCAAGCTTCTTATATACAAAATGCTTAACTATCTCATTTTCAACATGATTTGACTTATAATGAACTTTCCATATACAGGGTGTCAATTTTCAAAACTTGCAATCAGCAATATCTCTAGAACTAAAAAAGTTATTGAGAATCACTCAAAACCGTTTCGGTGGTTTTTAGGAGGAATCAAAATGTCCTCCACCTCCACCCACCCTTCAAGCCACAGCCACCTTAAGTTGAAAATTTTAAATGGCACGACCTTACTTGCGATACATCGTTGGAAAGCCCATAACAAGCGCTTTTCAAAAATGTCATACAACAGCCTATTTGGTAAATCCATTTTTCCAATTATTCAAAAACGAAGACGTTAAATTTTCATTTTTTTATTATATTCAAGGGTGGGTGGAGGTGTGTCACTTATCATGTGATTTTAATTCCCCCTAGGGACCACCAAAACGGTTTTGAGTGATTACTAATAAGTTTTTGCTTGCCGATTGCAAGTTTTAAAATTGACACAGTGTATAAATTTGTTTCCTTCAACAAAGATATTAAAACTTATTCGGTATCAACCAAATATATCTAAACCTTATTTTTAAAATTTAAATTTTAGTTATTATGTAAGAGTAACAAACTTTGATATGTTTTAGCGACAGGCCTTTCAAGTTAGAATTTTAATGATAAAGTAAATAAATAACAAAAAGTAACGCACAAAATTCATATTTTTATTATGGGTCATTTTTCAAAAAATCCTCAAACAGGTCGATTTTATTTTTATAAATGCTACATTTTGACAATATTGTAACATTTATGACGTCATTGGATTTTGAGTAATAACGTCATCATTAATTTTTTTAAATGACGATCAACTATTATGTTGACTGTTTTTAGTAATGGGTACATTTTCTATCTTTAAAAAAATATATATTACCAAAAACAGTAAATAAAAATGTTGGTTTCCATTTAAGAAAATACTGATAATGTCGTTACTTAAAAAATATTGGCATTATAAATAATGAAAATGTATCACTTTACAAAAATAAAATCTACCTGTTCGAGATTAAAAAAAATTTACTCATACAATTATAAATTTTGTGCGCTACTTTTTTCTTTTGTGTACTTATTGTACTTCATATCTGCGACTTTTATAACAAAATTAATCTTCAACCCCAAATTGTTTAATTTCAACATTTTTTCTTGAATTTAATACTCGCAATTTTTATAAGCAAGAAAATGAGTGTCACCGCAAAACAAAAAGTCGTAATTAATTTTCATACGTATGGCAGGGGACCAATTTTTGCGCGATGTGTTTAATGTTTGTAATAAAACAAACTTGCTTGATTAAAGAGTTTATGAAGAATATTACGAGATGAGACTCGCAGGTAATTGCGTAATTATCAATTTGCATTCACAATTTTAATTACGTAAACATAAATATTTACGTGTTTATGAAACAGCAAACAAAATTTTAATAAAGAAAACATTCACCACCTTTATTTAAAAATGAAAATCGTCAACCAAAACAAACTAATTCTAGCTAAATTTCTGGCAAGTTAATTAAGTTCGTCCGAGTACGTTTCTGACGATGATGGCTTAATTAATATCGTAATCTGTCAGGTTTCGAGCTGAGATCTGTAGTTTCTAAGACGATTAAAGGCTAAACTCACTGATAATGGTCAAGTTGACTTTAATGTTCCTTGTAGGAGTTTGTTTAAAGTCGACGCGGCAGTGATAGATTCCCCCATCGCTGTCTCGGACACTGTCCAGTGTAAGTATAGCTGGTTTGTCTTGATAACGGAAGTGAGCTCGAGCTCCCAAGACACTTTCGTCATGCCAGTGCTTTCCTTGCTCCGGCAGTTTATCTCGGGAGTCGAACCTGGAAGGACAACAAAGTAATAGATTAGTGGAACAAAATCCTCAACAAATAGAGACCAAATCGACCAGTGACGATTGGATCATTACGACAGAAGAAAGAGATCACGTGTGTCATTCAAACGTCAATAGGATTATCTTTTCGGGCACAATGGACAAAATAAACAGTTAATACACCTATAATAGTTTGCTATTCTTTATCCAAACAGGTTAAAATAATAAAATTATTAACCTAATAGTTTAAAGGAATTAAAAAAAAAAACCTATTTCAAACATGTTGCTTTAAATTTCGAAATTCTAAATTTTAAAAGACAAATTCCAAACTTCACACTCAATACTTCATTTAAAATGTAAAATTTACGACTCCAACATAAAATTCTAATTTATGAATTCTTGAGTTGTGTATTCTTTATTAAAAGCTTGGGCTGCAATTTCCAGACGCAAAATTTAAAAAGTACAAACCCCCCATAAAATTTAAAATGCTGGTTTCAAAACATTAAGTTTCAACTTGTAATTTAGAGTTAGGCCTTTGTTTAACCGTTCTCCAAATAAAATTTATTAAAGTTATTTTCGAGGTAAAGCGTACGCCACTGATGTGTTCGGAAATAGTATTAGCATAGGTAGTGCAAACTTGGTATTAATTTCATGAAAATGTATCTGATCATTGCAATAATTCATAAACGCCGTGAGTGGCACGGATCGAGGGGGTTTTGCCCCAAAAAGATATAAACGTAAAAAAGTTACAGTTTGTCTCCAGTTATTCTTAGAAAGCTGTGATAAAATTTTGTCGGTTTATTTAAGAATCAGCCTGTATACAGATCCCAGCGAGTTGAAAAAGTTCATTAGTTACGTTTAAATAGTAAAATAAAATAAAAATATATAGGACATTGATAGATATAGTCTATCGCCTAAAATTATTTTCAACAGCGTGTCTCAAAAATAAGTTGCAATACAAACTTGTGTTTTTTTAAATGAAACACCATGTTTTTAGCGTCTTTGGATGTAGATTTTTATGACAATGATTTTAAGCTAAACTTTTATTGGTCGATTTTGCTTGGTTTTAAAAATAAGACGGTTTTTTTGACGAAAACATGCACTTTTTAAAAATTTATTACACAAAGACTAAGACATCTAGAAATATTTTTTTTACTAGGTGTTTATAATCAATAACATTAAAAAAAAATAATTACTATTGTTTCAGTAGCCAAAAAGTGCACAGTTGCACAAGAGATGGAAGAAATATCACTTAATAATCACATTTGTGTTAAACTGAATCCATTGTTCTTTTTTTTCACAATAAAATAATTCGAATTTCAGTATTTATAACGACTTTTATAATCTCTCGATAAATCAACGGATAAGTGATCCGTGGTGGAATTACTATAGCTGCCATAGTATCAACAATGGTCCGACATTGATAGGCACTGTTGCTACAGTTAACTTTAAAATTAAATATCTTTTAATTTATCAATTCTAGACATTAAAAGTTATTTTTTTTAGATAGTCAATTTATCAATCTATTAGATGCAAAAATAAAACAATGGGATGTTCCATTTAATTTTCTTAAGTTATTTAACGTTTAACAAACTTCTTAATTTATTAGTCTTTACAAACGCAAAACGCTAAAAAATTGCTACAGCTTTAAATTCTGTACTTTCTTCTTTGCAGAAGTAAACAAAAATTGTTCTAGCTGTCTTAGTTCTTGTGTAATGAATTTTTAAAAAGTGCATGTTTCCGTCAAAAAAAACCGTCCTATTTCTAAAACTAAGCGAAATCGACTAATAAAAGTTTATCGTAAAAACACTGTTTTAAAAAGCTACATCCAAAAATGCCATGAAACATGTGTGTTTCATTTTAAAAAAAACACAGTTTGTATCGTAACTTATTTTTGGGACATGATGTATGGTTGAAAATAATTTTTTCTATTTCGGTGTTAGAATAAGTCTATTCCAGCACCCAAATGACGTCATTTGCGTGCTGGAATAAGTCGTTCGCGGTAATTTAATTTTAGTGACGGACTTTCTTCACAATTCATTTTCAAATGTGAAAATAAGAATAATTTTTATTTTTACAGCCGCCTAAAATTATTCCACACATAAATGTCGCCAACCGTCGCAAAATTCTCTAGAAAAAAAATTTAATTTTCGTTTTTTAATTTATAAAATGATATAAAGCGGCGAAATAGAAAAAAAATAGTATAAAGCACTTGTTGCAGAAGGTTCTTCAAGCACTTATTTGTTCCTCAACTCGCCGCTTCGCGGCTCGTTTCGGAATTTTAAGTTTGTGCTTGAATAGATACCTTCTGCAACTTGTACTTTAATATACTATTAGGTGATGCACTAGATTAGTATCTATCAATGTCTTATGAATTTTTTTAAATTTTACCATTTAAAAGTCACTAACGGACTTTTTCAACTCGCTGGGACAGCCTGTATAATAGTTATAAACATATCTAGGATGTAACCAATATCTTAACATTCGCAGATGTCAATTGAAATCCGAGGAAGCTTGTGAGCGAAGACTTTTAAGACATCTAAGACTGTTATGACATTGATTGCATCCGCGGTATTTTCAAGATTTTATCGGTTTCTGTCGATTGAGCCAACAGTTGAAAACCGAAAATTTGTTTCAAAAAATATTGAGCTAATTTCGTTTGCATGACCTGTGCCCAAGTCATGGTTACGTTTTACATTACACCATCAATGTTTATTAACGACGATAATGAAAAGCAGTTGTAGTAAATTTTCCATAGAATTCTCATTGTGGCATTATACTACATATAAAATTATAAAATATTTTTTACAGTTCTTTTTTTTCTTCTTCTTGGATCTTCTTGGTATGGAAACGATGAACAAAACACGATTAGCCCGTCACCTGAGGATGACCACTTTGTGGTTGAAACGCGTTGTGATTTAAATAAAAGTTTGGTGTGACGGGCTAATCGTGTTTTTGTTCATAGTTCTTTTTCTGTTTAAATAAAATTCATTTATTAGTTTTCACATTTATTACTTTTCCATTCCTTGACAAATGTTGACAATTGACATTTCGGTAAAGTAGTATTTTACCTTTTACCGATTTTTTATACAGGATACAGTTATGGCTAAGCTACCAGCCAACGTTTTATAAATGTAAAGAGACGTTTAATAGACAGAAACCGATAAATATTTTATTTAATTTATACCAGTGTTTGAATAACTCGAGAACCAGAATAAAATTAAAGTAAATATGTACTGGGTGATTTACGAGGAATAATGAACCTGACCAAATTCTCGATGCAACCAACATTACATTTGTCGTTGGTACTATATAGCCCTCGGGCTAGACTATTTTGCACAGCAGTGAGTAGAAATAAACTTTTCTTATGTCAAAACTGTGACAGAAGGCAAGAGAGAGAACTGAGCATAATAATGACAGGAGTAAATACACACCCCACAACAATTGTCGCCACGGTGTAAGATATTTAGGTGATGCAGCGAGCCCAGCAAACGTGTGGCCAAACCGGTAACGCTCAATCTAGAAAGAGATAGCGTAATCGGGCCATTATTACTATCAACAATAAAATGAAGGAATGAACCAAAAAGTTGCAGTTGTATAAATGATAATAGTTAAAAAAAATTTAGTACAAGTTTATATAAAAAAACACCTCACATACCTACTACTTATAAATCTGAATTCTATAAGAAATATTATCTAAATGATAAAGCTTTACTTGAACTTATTTTTATTACATGTAAAACGTGAAACAAATACATATTGAATTTCACTTGAAAACAGTTATTATATTAAAAATTAGTAGGTATATTAAATAATTAAATAAATTAGTACTTAATTAATAGTACATTATATTATAAGTGATAGAAATGCATCGCGCTTGCGCACGAGTGGGACACTTCTCACGAGTTTCATAGTGGCATTTCGATCACGTTTTATCTTACAGGTGCAACTATTCAAAAAATAAAGTTTCATTCAAGTAAAATATTCACCTACAAAAATATAATAGTAAATATAATACAATAGTAAAATTTACTCACTTGTGAGTACTTTATCTCACTTGCGAATAATATTTGATTTCTATCACCGAAAACAATGGTCTAAGAGGTAGCTCTAAAACTCAACCTGTAAGATAAAAATAATTCTTTTTAAATAAGGTAATTTTATGAAACGGATTATAGAAGACAAAGATTTTTCAAGAACGATAAACACCTACATATTTCGTAGGAGCATAATATTCTAAGGGCCAGTTGCATAATCGTATTTAAAGGAGCATTAAATTTAATGTTGTTTAGAATGTGCTAATTACTACGGACTCCTTGAGCAAATTTTCAAATTTTCAACCAACATTAACTTTAAAGTCTCTTTAATTCGATCATGAAACTGGACCTACGTAAAATTTAACTCTAAATTTAAAATTATTAGTAATTGTAAAACTGCCGTTACACACACATCAGTTTATCAAAAATTTGTTATTAATTAATTCGGTTTTTGGACTGTAGTTTATTTTTTATCCAGAGAAAAATTAAATCAGAGAGATCAAATATATAAAGTTCATTTAACACCTTGCGTCGATTACTACTTTTTTAAATAACGTTACTTTGAACTGAACTTTATTTTATAATTATTGAAATCACATTAATTAATTATCACCATTCGGAATTGAATGTAAAGACCACAGACTAGAAGGTAAATAAATAAATAGAAGAACCTTTATTCTTATTTCAAATAAATTTTGTTTGTTATACAGCTATACCAGGTGATTCACGAGGAATAATGAGCCTGACCAAATTTTCGATGTATAGTTGGTACCAACAATATTTGAGACTCATTATACCAGGTGAATAAAAAGTATGGAACGAAGCGTTTTTCTCGTAAACTAACCACTTTACAAAAAAAAATAATTAGTGTAGCGTAAAGTCCAATTAAAATGTGACCATTTATCAAGAATAACATTTTTCCAATTTTTTTTTTAGTTTGCGAGTTCTGGAAAAATTTTTTTTTTTTTAAATGGCAACCCATTATGGTAATTTTTTTAATTGAAGATTATGATCCAAAAATGACCTCTAATTAAACAGAATTGTTTTCTAGTCAGTACTTTTTTTTAATAAATTGTTAAAGTTGCGTTCCGAGCCCATCACGAAGATTTTCCGAACTTGAACGAGGGAGTCGTTTCATGACTTTGGTCGTTGGAGAGCCCGGTTTTTGTTGCAGGTGCTTTGGGGTGGTTCCGGATGGATCAAAAAATGTAAAAACAAATCATTTTCTTCTATTTTTAGTCCATTCGAAACCACCCCAAAGCACCTGCATAGAAATCAGCGCTCTCCCATGATGAAAAGCATGAAACAACCACTTCGGTTAAGTTCGGAAAATCTTCGTGATGAGCTCGGAACGCAACTTTAACAATTAATTTAAAAAAAAGTACTAGCTAAAAAATAATTTTATTTAATTAAAGGTCATTTTTAGATCATAATCTTTAATTAAAAAAATTATAAAACCCGAAAACTAAAAGAAATTTCGAAAAATGTTATTCTTGATAAATGGTAACATTTTAATTGGACTTTACGCTACACTAATTATTTTTTTTGTCAAGTGGTTAGTTTACGAGAAAAACGCTTCGTTCCATACTTTTTATTCACCTGGTAGAATAAGACGATTACCCCCCACGGTGGTTCATTCGGTTTGCGGTAGAGATAAACAAATTTGCATTTCTTAGGACAGGGACGTTTCAAAGGTTTGTAGGAAGATATGGTCCGTAACAGAAATTTGTTTTTGGGCTTTTATAAAAAAAAAACTAAATTTATTTTAATATATTCAGCTATATTTTGAGATTGTTTCTTTACAAATCTGCATTATCACTTTAATATTAAATTATCAAATAAATTCCCAAATTTATGCTTGTAATAAATTAAAAGCCTACTACAAAAATTCCTGAATACGGCTCTTTTGTAAATCTTCAGGGTAGTACCACCAACAGTGAAAAATTATTACGGCCGACCGCAAGGCTACTTAACCCTCAATAAAGCTTTGCATACGTCAATCAATCAATCGTGACGACTATAACTAACATTACAGTTGTCGCGAAATAACTTGCGAAGAGTAAAGGTGGTTGCATCGAGAATTTGATCAGGCTCATTATTCCTCGTGAATCACCTTGTATTTGATTCCTCTACTAAAATAAATAACCAAATTATTATTATTTATTGATAATTATTAAAAACAGCAATCGAAGAAATCTAAATTTAGAATTGCTTTTTCAATTCTTTTTGCTTTTATGCTTAGTTTAACTTGTGGTTTAAATTTAACAATATCCTGGACAATCTGGAAAAATAGTTAGTACCGCTTCTTCTTATAATCTTCTAATCTTTTTGAGATAAAATTTGACAAAACCTAGATAAGCTGTTTCAATCTAGAAAAAATACCGTGCGATCAAATAAAAAATAAATTAGAGTAGGGTTCGATTAAATTCTACAGTTGGCAACACATTGGCTGGGAATCTGGGCTGAAATTTTTCCACACAAACTGAATGTGAAAATAACCATCCACCGTTTTCCTCTTGTACAGCAATAAAAATTTTCTGCCCTAAAGTGAACATTATTTCACTCAAAAGGAATATCTGAAGGACTTTAATCACGCCTACTCTAATTTATTTATTTTTTTTTTGATTGCACGGTATTTTTATGGTGGTTATAATTTTAATTAATTTTCTTCAGAATTACCGTATAACAGCCAGTTTATATAATTATATGTTTTGTTTTAAAATGTTTTTTACACACATGATCTTTTACCGTGAAAATACAGAATTTTTGGAATTATACGATTATAGGCAACATTTTCCGTGGTAGGTGTCGGAAATAAAGATAATTTTTCATTATTTTTAGAATAGCCACTTTTACACTTGGGCACACAACATTTTTTCCCATTTCAAAACGTAAAGATAAACATGTATTAGAACAATATAAAATTGCTGAAGTAACCACCTCAGGTGCACTTTATTAGGCGGACTTTCAGAAACGAGTGGCCCGCATATGTCATCCTTGTCTAAAAATCGCGTGACCAGTTCGGCCACACTTCAGCCAACGCCAGTGCATGCGCTCGCTGCATCACCAAATAACTTAAACCATGATTATTGCATAACTTTATTTCTTAAGTATACATATATACGTAGTAAATCGAGTAACAAATAGTCTGCAAAAATTGTATATAAATAATAGTTATTTATTGTAAGAGTGTGTTAGATACTCGTAGCGTTGTATCCACGCAAGAATGTTTTACCGCGAGAACGTTAGTTCGAGCTGCATGTTAATTTTTAAATTTTATGAAAGAATTATAGTCAATTTACTTGTTTTTTTTTTAACTTAACTCAACTTTTTAACTCAATTTTTTCTGTATTAATTTTCATTCGGTTCTGAATAATTAGCAATAGATTCTGGCATTTGAACATGATAATTACGCCATTGCAAGTTGGAGCTGTCCCCCACCGGGACATTTCCTGTTGTTTCTCTCGAAATAATTATTCACAAAACCCGTTCTCCTGTTGCGGCACCTAAAACCGATCTGCTATAATTAATTTTATTTCAGGTTCGGTGGCTTTTGAGTAACGATTTTGCCTGATTTTATCTTGAACTTGATTGGTTGGTTATATCTTTTAATTTTCTTATTCGTTTTGTTTGCATTCCTGATACAAATCGTGCTCTTTAAATGAAAGTACATCTCTGTATAGATACAAGTTATTGTATTATGTATTTTCAAAACATATCGGGTGTCCGGTCTCGATAACGGACATAGGAATTTAACATGGAACTTAATATAAATAATAGTAACAATAGTATTATTTTTGTTGTTTTTAATAAAAACTAATAAAATTCTTGATTACTTAGATACTCTCGTAGATACCTATTTATTTTATCAGCAAAGAAATTGGGAAAATTTCTATGTTCTATGTTTGAGTTTGAGACCGGACACGCGGTATACAGGGTGTTTACAGTCTTGAAATTGAAAATTGACGTATATAAATACAGAAAAACAGAAATACTGTAACCGAGAAAAAAACTCACACAATTGTTATTATTAAAAATGTTATTAACCTCCAAAATATTGGTACACGGTTTGAAGGTCACTGGAATTATTTCCTTGTCCCCAGATAATATTGTATTGTTGCAACAGATAAAAAAATCGTATCCATGACAATGAAACAGAAAAGTCACTTCATAGTTTTGACACTGTCATCATTTGATCATCTGCTTTTGCTTTAGTTTTTATCAAAATTTGAAAATCTTCTGTTTATTCTCTTGCAGCGAAATGGTTTCCAATAGGTTTGATTCGTTTTTCTTAATTTTTCTAAATTTATGAACATGAATGACAAATATTAAAATAATAAATTGGTTGTCGTGATTATGATTTACCGTAAAACCCAAGGTAATGATACTAATGGCCATTGTTGCACCCGAAGCAGCAGTTCTCAAACAAATAGTATAAAATGAATTATAACGCATATAACGTGAATTTTTGTTTTATATAGCGTATTAGTTTTCTTCTACCGTGAATATCATCTCATTTAAATTTCAACACCAAGACCGTAAACACCTTGTATATTTATTTGTGTACAATTGTTCTCTTAACTTTATGGTATCTGAGACTTGCAAATGGCTTGTAGTATTCAAACAACAATAACACGTATACAAGAGAAGGTATATTTTTGCTTTCTATTTATTTAACAAACTTCTTTGTTTACATTGTAGCCGGGAGAGTTTAAAAGGAACTGGAACTGCAGGATAAAATGAAACTGATATATCCTGAATTGTGCTGAGGGCGATCTCAACTTTTGAACTAGTTCTACGAAAGACTAAGTTATTTAATAGAAAAAACACTTTCATAACTGAACACTAAAAATGTTCTTTTCAACAGCAATACCCTAGAAACATGGATTAATTATATACAGGCGAAAAAAGACGCTTCGAGCGGCTAGAGGCTGCTCCTGTTAACTATATGCTCGTATAATTTCAACCAGGTCCACTCTACAATAATCAACATGCGGAATTTCAGACATTAACATGTTGTTATTCTAATTGATCCAAATTCAACGATTTGGTTCAAACAAATTTAATAATGGCACTAGACATTCATCAAGACCCGCTAACCGGAACACAGCGTAATAAATGTACACAATTACAGAAAGCATATATGTACTGAGTTAATTACTTACGAGTATATGGGGGTTTTACGATTCTCACCCTCCTTAAACCATATGACTATATGCATCTTGTCACCAGGCATGGCTGGAATAATATCGCATGGTAATTTTGCCATGCCACCCTGAACTGCCTCTACGGAATATGTGGCGCTTGCTGAAAAAGAAAAAAGAATGAGTTGTAGTATTAGTCTTGCGAGAATATTCTGGCACAATTTGAAAGTTGTAACAGACATAAAATGCACAAATTCGTGTTATTACAAAAGCATTCTCGCTGCAATTGCGGAGATGTTTTTTTATTGTCTTAATAATCTTTTGTTGACTATAGACCCAAATTAAAAAAATATATTTCACTAATTAATTAATAAAAATTGAAACTAAGGTAAAGAGCTTTTAGTGCCTGTTTCTTTCAAATCATGACCTTAAAATCGATTGAGATAAATAATAACTGGAGATTAAAAATTGTGAAAAATATTATTTAGTTGGTTGTCGTCGTGCAAAAAGACAATTTGAAAGAAGGCGTGTATGTCATTTTGGTCGCATCCGTGCCGACAATTTGTTGCAATAAAATCCCTCCACGATGGTTTTTTAATGAAGAGCCTGTCCTCTTTTCTGCGGCAAACTGGAAATTAAGAAAAGTTTTATTGTTGTTTGAATAAAATTTCTTTAGTTGAAATTTATGTGTTCCATTGTAGCGAATTTTTTTCAGCGTGACGAAATGAACTCTTCGCGATTTAAAACCGGAAAAAACGGCAATAATAAATAATTGAAGCTGGCGGCAATAATTTCCATCGTGCCGTCAGTTTTAGTGCTTTTAAAATACCTCGGAGTCGCCGTAATTTAGTCTCACTCGGACATAAGTAACATTTATTAAAGTTAAAGCGTCTATTAAGAGAAAGGAGCGCGTTTCTTCAGTTCCACCCCCTGAGCCGGGGTTAATGAGGCGCTAAGAACGGCAAGAGTGACCCGAGAAATGCATCGTTTGAACTCGGGAGAGATCATAAATCCGAACGGGTCATAACGAAACCACTCCAGGAACTGTCTCGGCAATCTGCCAGCCGAAACGATGCCAGATATCCATGGGCTTTTCGATTTTCAAATTAGGAGGGGCCATTGTAAGTGCTAAAACTCTAAATGCGGGAGTTTAACAGTAGTTGAAAGTTCGACAACATTATATCAGCGAGTGCTGCAATATGAACGTACAATCTATAATTTACAGACTCGTTATATTCAGAGATTGCAAAATGCGAGATGCTACCAGAGTTTTGGCATTATTGTCGATGAAATCTGGAATTCGATTTGCTTGTACCGATATTCGGCTTCGATTGTCTTCAAACAAGATATCGGAGTTAACTTTAAGAGCCAGTTTTCACACCAGGGACTGCTTCATATTGCAAACTTAAATTACATGCAATGCAACTACTAATTGTAACACCTTGCACATTGTACCAGTAGTAAAATGGAAAATAATCACAAATCCCACATAGCCTTTATTTTACCACCACTATTTTAAATTGAACATACAGAACTAAGTTATAAATCTAACGTGCAATATAAAATTGATATTTACGTTGTAATTTACATTAAAATAGCCAAAGCATCGTTTAAAAAATAATGTCGATAACATAGCAAATATACAGAGTGATTCTCGAGGAATAATGAGCCTGACTAAATTTTCGATGCAACCAACATTATAGGTGTCGCAAAATAACTTGCGAAGAGTAATGGTGGTTGCATCGAGAATTTGGTCAGGCTCATTGTTCCTCGTGAATCACCTTGTATACAGAGACATTTTTTTTAATTTTGAAGATAGCCTTATGTTCAATTTTAGCCCTACAGACAGTCAAAGATGCTTTAGTAACAAAAATATTTCCCTTGTAGTCGTGGTGGGATGTCTAAAAAGCTATTTAAACCCAAACCATTAAGATAGAGATACGGTGTCCCGAACTTTTTTAAAGCAAATGTATGTAATTCTCCACAACTTGTCCTTAACACTTTCTTTCTGTCTTTAGTCGTATGTGCAGCGTTTTCAATAAAAGTTAAAAACATAAGGCTAACCAAAAATTTCTGTTTTGATCATTACATATTTTAAAATATAGTTTTCAGCAAAATTTCTGCTATATCTTTATTTCGTACTGTGAAGTTTTTAATTCTATCTGCTTGTAATTTTTCTGACTATGTTGTCATCTTCGTTTAAATAAAGCAAGATTTTATTTCGTTGCTTTTAAACTGTAGACACGCTCCTGAGACTATCATTAAATCGCAGCAATGCATTGATCTGATTTTTTTCAAATTAAACATAGGGCTATGTTCAGAGTTAAAAAATGTCCCTGTTTTTTTTTTATTATCTACGTATGTAGCATACGTATTCAAGCCTGCTTGAATACAATAATTTTTCGGTTCGTTAAATTCAAAATCGAACCACGAGACTGGCTCAATTTAAACGTAGTTAATCATTGCAAACGTATAATAAATATTCCTGAAATAAATTAATAATATTCTGCATTAAACAGAAGTTAAATTTGTTATTATATTTATTATTAAAAGTATCTTCACATCTCTAAAGCATAATCCAAAGAGCTAACTATCACCTTCGAGTAAACACATAACATAAGCTCAGGTTAGTGTAAGAAATAAATTAGCAACCTCAGACAAGTCAATTAAAAGGTATAACAAGCGACGACAACGTCTGCTTATTTCGTCAACTAGAAGATAATTTTGTAATATTTAGAGTATTTTTAGTTGGAAGTTTATGAATTAAAAACAAGAAAACAAATTCCAAGTGGCAAGGAGCACAATGAAACCACAGTGCGGTTTTTATTATATTAGTTCCTTTATTGTTATCGCATCTGCACCAGACTTACGTACATTATTCAATTTACAATATTGGCAACTGCAGAGAACTCATATTGAACGACTCCCTTCTTATCCAATACGAACTTTATCGGTTCCGTATCAAATATTATCTCGGCAACTTATTATATTGAAGGCAAACTTACTATCCGACACATTTCCGAGAAGCTCCACCAGCTTTTTCGTCCAGTAAATTCGTCTATATAGCTTGCCGAAAATATAGATTTAAAATAATAGTTCTTTATCATTGCTTGATGGTTTAATATAATGATGATGACAGAAGAATATTAAAGCAGGAATTTTATCAAAGAAAGTATCTCTCGCGGTTTAAAGTATGCATTTAATGAACGCACCTGACGTAAAATAAAGATTACAGAAATTATGGAACGACGTTGACAAATTTATATTTCCCAAGCTACAACAATGGAACCACCCTCGACGGAAATAAATAATTTAAATAAAAAATATTTATCTAAGAGTTCTCTAATATTCATATTAGATAGGCTAAGTAATATAAGTCGAAAAAAAATTGTCTATACTATAATAATTTTTATTTATAGTATTACTATAATAAGCTTTCACCGCGAAGCTTCTTTCAGTTTCTTCTGAATTGTTTAGTTTTGGTAAAAACCTCTCTGGCAGAGCATTCTCCTGTCGTCAATTTCGTCGCTCCAAGTTTTTCGAGTTAAAACTAGATCAATACCCCCGCTTTACTAAACAAGAATCAGTTTTTGTCAGTCTAGGATGACGCTTTTTGGTAGCTGTCTCCGCCAAGTTTGCATTGCTTCTTCGAACGGCATTACATACAGTAATATAAATTCCCTTCTAACTGATAAAGCAAAACTTTAAAGTTGAATAACAGCCAACACAACTTGTCAACAATTAAAGCACAGATAACAAATTTATTTCCCGAGGGAAGAAGCCGAGGGTGAGATGAACATGTTTGAGTGCTCTCTTTGTGCTCGTGTCTGCTACAAGACTCCACAACTCACTGCACTTTCCGATGTGCGAGCCTCCAACGACTCTCCGGGTTCTAAAATATCACCTCTTGCTTTCTGACGCTGTCCACTCCATCGCTAATTTCAATTTTGTTGGAACGGTGGAAAAACTGAAAGCACTCGACCACCGCGACTAAATTAACTGTTTATTTTAAAAGTGGAAAGAGCCAGAAGGTTAAGTCGAGTAGTTCATTTTTTGTCAGCTCTAAATTATATCCACCAGGGATATGATAAGCGTAAATAAAAGTAAACACTTCATGTGAGCAAAATGCAGATAATATAAATGAGAACAAGATTTTCAAACTATAATTTTAAGACAAATTTTTGTAGAATCCGATTGACTTCGGCGTTAGTGGTTAAACTGAAAGCGTTTAAATTACGTTTAGTTTGATCCTTTGACAAAACACGCAAACCTTCTATGATATAATATACAGCAATTTCATGTAGGTTGTACCGCTCGAAGGATTTCCCTATTTAACATTTAATGCCCTATGAGTTCTATGAGACATTAGAGGAGAAAAAGGAGAATGCTCGTCATAAAGTATATTTTCGGCTGATCGCCTGATATTGCAAAAATATCTCAGCGTACAAAGAAATGTCAGCTCAATCGATAATCCGCGTTCAGCAATAATAATATAGTGACAGCGCAGTCTGCAATAATCCCGACGTAGATTAATCACTTTTCTGACACTTCCTGGTTAATTTGCATTTGGTAGCCGGCGAATCAAAAGCTGTTGTCCCATTTCATCTCAGTAGACGTCTCCAGAATGTTTTTTGTGGTTTGACTCGCAATCATATTTGTTCCTCAAAATCAACACAAACAATGAAATTTAAAAAAAGAGAGAGCCTTTTTTCGAATTTAATTTCAAATTTACTCTGCATAATTCTTATAAAATAGCTCGACCGAGGGAGTATAATATAGACACAAATGTTTTTAATCTGGAAACCGGAAATCGCTCCAGTCTACTCCTGTCTTAGCCGTTACTTTCCGGCACTCGAGATTCAAGACGCGGCTGAAACTTGACGTGCATATTAAAAGAGGCCATGCATCTATCTCTTCTCTTATTGTTATTCTTCTCGCTAGGATTGGCAAATGTGCAAAAGACATTGCGAATAGATAAGAAGTTAACGAGGAAGCGGCCATGAAGAATTTGGAAAAATAATCTGGGAGTACATTGTGTGGAAAAAGATTCGAGACGAACTCAGCAAATCGCAACAAATTTCATACCCAATAAAATAGCGCAATTAAAAACGAAATTGTTTGACTTGCTATACGATTATTGCCATGCTAATTGGCTTTTTTTCG